GTAATGTTAGTGGGATGTAGTAATTATTTATTGAGTGTCTTGTTTTATATTTATGATTAATAAGAGAGAAGTTTTTATAAAAATATTTTGGAATTAATTCGTTTTGAAGTTTAAACATAAATAACAAGTTATGGTAGATGTTTAATTTGTATACATTTAGGGCATTTATTTCCTGGAGTAACGGCTCGGCACTTTCGTATCTATCCATGCCCAAAACTAATCGACTTGCTTGCTTTTGTTTTGTGTAAATAGTTTTTAGGAAAGATGAGTGATTGTTTGCCAAGGCAATATTACAATAGTTAATATGACTATGTATAAACGAAAAATATAAATCTTTTAAACATATTTTGTTCAAAAGAGGTTTAGTCTTATACATTATCCCTAAAGTCTTTGAGACTTTGCTCTCGACTAGCTTTATTTACGAAGTTACTAAAGCAGTATAGAAACGTTAACACATGTAATTTTAAACCTTGTTTTCGACAATAATAATTTAGTGTCTATAACCCTCTATAAATAATGCTCGTCTATAACAGAGAAAATAATTATTTGAAAATAAATTGTTACCAAATAATTATTATCTCTGTTTTAGACGATAATAAATTATTATCATCTAAAATCGTCTAAAATCAGCTTTATTCTTTTATATGCTTAAAAAAACAGTAGTACCTGGATTTTATTTGATAGTAAAGTATAATAATAAAATAGCAAACCTACTGAAAGAAAGAAAGCTAAGCGATTATATTTTCTAAATAATGATAACTATATCTTTCCGCATTTCGTAGGTCGTGTAAATAAATACCCACTTATTTTTTTATGTAAGATTGTTTAACTATAAACCAAAATAAAATATAAGATATTAATAAATTCGGTGTCACCCAAAAGTGGATGACACCCGGGGCGGTGAGCCCCTCCCCGCCCCCCGTCCATCTTTCCGTAGGTACGCCACTGCATAGCTTGCTGCATCACCTAATGGTATGTTAATTAACGGAGAATTAAATAATGAATTTGGATTGATAGAAATAAAATGCCCTTGGTCAAAAAAAATCATACCCCAAAAGAATTAGTACTCGACGAAACTTTTTATGTTAAAATAAAAAATAATAAGCCAGTCTTGAGAAAAAAAAATGTATGCGGCTATTACACTCAAATACAAATGGCTCTAGGAATATCACAAGTAACATTTTGTGATTTCATTGTTTATACGTTCAAAGGATACATTATTATTCGAATTCCTTTTAATATAATGTTCTTCAAAGATATTGTAAAAAACTTAACTTATTTTATATCAAATATCTTTTACCTGCTATTGTTGAACTTGGGACAAATCAAATTGAACAATAAATTATAATACAAATAAAAATTACATTTTTAAAAAGTAGGTCATTAGTAAAAAATATATTCTTTTAGTTAATATCGTGTAGTTTTTTCTGTATTGTTTATTAAGGGTGACTGGAAGTTTTTTATTTTTAATTTCTTTTATTTGCATTCACTCCCAACAAGGCTGCAAGCAACCACTATTGAGTTGGGAGTTACTAGGAAAAAAAAAGAAAACTTAGCTGAATGACGAGTAAAACGAGAATGAATTTTAGTTGATGGAACTAGAGATGATAACTCCTTTGAGCAGCGACCATGATAGTATTTGTAGAAAAGAGAAAGAGATGCAACTTTACGACGATAGGAAAGAGGCTCAAGCTTAGCAGATAGTCCAGCTCCAACAACATGTACAATGCGTTTTTGGACCTTGTCAAGAAGAAAAAGTGAATCGTTAGAAGAACAAGCCCAAATATGACAACAGTATTCCATACAGAGACGAATAAGAGATTTGTAGAGATTGAGAATGGAATCAGAAGTAAGGAAATAGCGAGCACGACAAAGAGAAGCAACCTTAGCAGAAGCTAATTTAGCAATCAATTGTGTATATGGTTTCCATGAAAGGTTGTAGTAAGCGATAATCCAAAAAGACGTAAAGAGGAGGACTTAGTTAGAGGATTGCCATTCATTAATATAGGAATGTTGACCATATTACGGTAGTTGTTTGCAGTAAACAACTGGGTTTTGTTAGAGTTGAAATTCACAAGCCGCTGTGAGCCCCAATCTATTACTGAAGTGAGATCGGATTCAAGATCAGCTGCTTGTTCTAGGCGATCGAAAAGAGAAGACTTTTTTGTCAAGATAGGAGTATAAAGTTAAGTCATCAGCAAAAAGAGCTACTTTAGATGAAAGGTTGTCAGGAAGATCGTTTATGTAGATAAGAAACAAAACAGTACCCAGGATGGAACCTTGGGGAACCCCAGAATTTACAGGAAATAAAGAAGAGTGTTGGCCTTCAAGGATGACTTTAATAAACCGGTTAGAAAGAAATGATTTGATAATCTCAAAAACTTTCCCAGTTTGTAAGTAGACAAATAACCGTCCAAATCTGATTGGCTAAACCATGTAAAGATAGTGTTATTTCATTACTTATTATTTTATACCGCTTTATTCTTTGGATAGCACGCTTTCTTTAACCTCAGCCAATGTAAATTGGTTTCGACCTTCTAAAAAGGAAGGAATGTTAAGACGTACATTGATGTTTGCTAATTCCTCTTCAATTGTAAACCATCTATCTACAATGAATCATCTTTATCCAAAAGATCTTTATTTAAAAATCCGCTCCTTATTACTATTTCCTTATCTGATACTGATCCAGGATACAACTGACTTACAAGTATTATAGCACCAGAAGGAGATATACCTAGTAATCCCTTGTATGTAACATGACTTTTGTAACTTAAATACATACAACTCTGAATATTTAAGGATGATGGTATTTGACAAAACAACTCAGTGCAATCAATAAAGCACCTTGAACTTGGGTATGTTATTTTAAAACATTCTGGCATTGTCAAATCAATTTGTTCTCTGGAAGGCCAAATAAGAATCCTACCAAGTGTAAAATACAAATAATCCAGGATATTATCTGTCTTGATATTGTTGATTTTGGCAATTTAAACAGCCATCAAATATGAGATCCAATAAGTGCAAATCCATTTTTTAACTAAACAAGAGTCATAAAAAACTGATCAAGTGCACATAATTTTGGTTACAGACCTTTTTTTGGCATCGATTCTATGTTGCTGTGTTTTTGTTTTTTTTCAATACTTGACTGAGAATCATAAAATTTTAAAAACTCACAGTTTTCAACTGGGTCCTCCAAAAAAAATTACATTATTGAATCTGTCTAATTCTAAACCAGTAAAAGATTCGTTTTCTTTTTTAAGTTGCTCTAACTGCTCTTTTAAATGTTGAAAATTTTTTTTGAAATTTTTCTATTTTTTTTAATAATGTTTTCTTTAAACACAAAAATAGACGGTATAGAATCTTTATGGAGTGTTTTTCTTCCAGAACAAGGTTTTAAGATAATATCATTTATATTAAAATGAAATTCGTATACTTCTTTTCAACATTAATGTTATCTACTCCTCTTTGTTGTCGAATGCTATTAAATACATTAATCCACTTTTTTCACAATTGAGGGTTGCTTTTAGGAAAAGTAAATAAACCAATTGTTTGTTTTATTTTTATGCTTGTCATACCTAGCATTTATACACATTGGTACACAACAGTATTGACCCCTACCACCACTTTCCAGCTGCCTAGGACGAGTTTCGAAAGACGAACCAATATAAACATTCTCTTCTGCAACTGCAACACTTGTATCCATATTTTTTAATTTCTTTTTTTTTAATAAAAAGACAACATATATAATAAAATATTTAACATCGTTTTTCAAAGCAACTAACTTTTTTGTAAATAAAATGTAAATAGCATCGAAAACAAAAAAAAGTTTAATATGTTTTTCTTTTAAATTTTATATTTTGTCATGGTTTGTCTCTAGGGATGGCAACAATCCCGGATATTTTCAATCCCGAGATTTCGGGATTGAGCAATTTGTCCCCGGGAAATCCGGGGATTGAATAAAAAAAAACGCAAACGCAATTGAATACTTTTTAAGCACTCATCAAACACTTAAAAACGAATAGTTTAATGGTAGTATAACTAAAACATTTTATACATTAATGAAGCTCTAAAATTAGGTTGAATCATGTTTTAACTTAATTTTGAATAAAAACTTATTTAAGACTTTCAAAAATTAATAAACCTAAATGTAATAAATTATAAAACAATACCTTAAAATGGCAACACAATATAAATAATAATAAAAATAAAAAAAAAATATAAATATGCATGACGTTAAAAAAATAAAATTAATGTATACCTTCTATTAAAAAGTCTTGCTCTTTTTACCAGCAAGCACTTAATTTTCATTTGTTTTTATAATATACAAGTTTTAATATTATAATATAAAATATATATAGTATAATATCAAAACTAGTATATCATAAATAATAACAAAAATATAAGCGGTACATATTGCTGGTAGAAAGCGCAAGAGTTTTTAATAAAAGTTATACATTAATTTTATTTTCTTATATATTTTTAATTTTAATTATATATATATATATATATATATATATATATATATATATATATATATATATATATATATATATATATATATACATATATACATATATATATATATATATATATATATATATATATATATATATATATATATATATATATATATATATATATATATATATATATATATATATATATATATATATATATATATATATACATATATATATATATATGTATATATAAACATATATACATTTTACAGACAAGCAATAATGTTTTGAATTTTATTTTTAGTAAAATGCAGAAAAAAAGAATTTTAAAAGAAAAACATTGCAAAGAGAATTACACAAGCAAACAGCTACTATACCAAAGACAATATAAAAATTACTAAACTACAATTATAAACTTAAACTTTATTAACTTTTCCTTTTTTTTTGACGATCCCGAAATACCCGGATTTCGGAGACTAATCCCGGGATTTTGGGATGAACAATTTGTACAAAACCTGGGATTTCGGGATCCCGGGATTG